ACACACGATGCACATTCTTTCCCTCAAAAGGAATTCTGTTTAGGTTTGCTGGAAATTAAACTATCATATCCAGAATTCTTTGAGGGAAAGTGTGTGATTTGAACTTGAACCAAGTGATCCTGGAGAGCCAATCCCATGTTCCTGCCTGCTGGTGATAAGACACTTTGAGAGCTTCAAAACTGGAATAGACAAATAAATGAAAGATAGGTATCTCAGTGGGTATTTGCCATGAGAGCTGAATGGACCCTCCATGTATAGAGGAAGTTTGCTGAATGCTGGGGACAAACCAGTAGAATACACAGTGTGCCTCATTTATGAAAACCTTTGGCTTTCCAGATTTTGCTGAACTCCTGTCAGACCTAGAAAGCATGAGCAATGGCCATGGATTATGGGAGCTGTGGTTCAGCATCTCTGTGCCCATTTTCTACACATTTTCTCTCACATGCACACACACACACGTGCACAAAGTGCTCCCTTCTCTCTTCAGCATATACTGCACCACTGATGTAAATGCCCTGGGTTTGATGCAGACACACAAAAACATTTTAGTCTCAGTCGGGCAGAATTAGAACAACATAAGAGACTTTTAGTTCCTCTGGACCATTCGTACTGTTTGGTTTGACAGGCCTACTCCCTGGCAGTCCAGTTTCCTGTGCTTTCCTCAGCATTGTTTAGAGTATTTACCCATTTTCCCCTCAACTCTGGGGCCTCTTGGAGGTCAAGCTATTCCAGCTCCCTTATCACAGCAATGTTAACTCATTAGCCTTTCCTCTAATGACTTTTCACCATTGGAATGTGGGGAGGGAGATGTTGCTCTGCATTCATCTGATATCTTTAAAGCATCGAGCTTTAACATCTCCTTAAGAAATCCTCACGATTAGCAGCGTGTGTGTTATGAGAAAGATATGGAAACAACACGGAGGAGGGAATGGCTGGCTATTGTTGTTTTGGTAGATATATTTGGCTATGTCCTCAAAGAAAGTGACCAGGACACAAAGAACCACACAACTTGTTCTGTACATACAAGCACACAATGGGCATGTGTGTTTCAGATTGTATTGCTCCACCAACAGCCTTCTGCATCACAGAAGAGGACTGCTGAATCACATTCAGACCATTGCCTAGGGGCAGCAAGCCCTGCTCTGGGTAATAATAATAATAATATTTTTTTATTTATACCCCGCCCTCCCCAGCCAAGGCCGGGCTCAGGGCGGCTAACAAGCAATAATAAAAATAAGTTGAATGAATACAACTTTAAAACAAAATTAAAAATACAACATTAAAATATTGAAACATTAAAATGTAGCCTCATCGCAGGAGAAAGGAAAAAGAAAAAAGAAAGAGGGGGAGGGAATCAAATTGGCTCCAAGCCAAAGGCCAGGCGGAACAACTCGTGTCTTACAGGCCCTGTGGAAAGAAATCAGATCCTGCAGGGCCCTGGTCTCATGAGACAGAGCGTTCCACCAGGCCGGGGCCAGAGTTGAAAAGGCCCTGGCTCAAATGTAAAGAGACTGAAGGTACATTCTTTCACCTTTGGTGGACGTGCCCAAGGATTAAGGCTTTCTGGGAGAAGATTTATAATGAAATGAAAAAGGTATTTAAATATACCTTCTTAAAGAAACCAGAGGCCTTTCTCCTGGGTATGGTCGGCCAATTGGTGTCAAAGAAGGACAGGACTTTTTTTTATGTATGCTACAACAGCAGCAAGAATACTTATCGCAAAGTATTGGAAGACAGAAGAACTACCCACCGTGGAAGAATGGCAGATGAAAGTTATAGACTATATGGGACTGGCAGAGATGACTGGCAGAATCCGAGACCAGGGGAAAGAGACTGCGGAAGAAGATTGGAAGAAATTTAAAGACTATCTTAAGAAATATTGTAAAATTGTTGAATGTTAAGACGATGTTGATTCTGAAATTAAGGGGTTGCTAGCTGCAATTATTATGTAATATGAAAAGAAAGCTTAAAAATTTAACCAAAATTAAGGGAAGGATTTGTTGAAGAGAATTAATTAGAGAATGGAATGCAGTAAGGAGAGGTATGAGGAGGTCGGGAAAGTTATTTTCACGAATATAAGGGAATGAAGTTATACATGTGGTTTTTGTTTGTTTTCTGATTTTTTGTATGTATTTTTGATTTTCTTTTTTGTGTCTTTTTTGTGTGATTTTTATGTTTTATAAAACTTGTGAAAATGCTAATAAATATCTTATAAAAAAAAAAAGAGAAGGCCCTGGCTCTGGTTGAGGCCAATCTAACTTACTTAGGGCCCGGGACCACTAGGCTGTTGCTATTTACGGACCTTGAGGCTCTCCGTGGGGCATACCGGGAGAGGCGGTCCCGTAGGTACGAGGGTCCTAGGCCGTGAAGGGTAGGGATCAAAGGGCAGCTGATCCCACCAAGGATTGAACCTGCAACCTTGGCATTATCAGCACCAGGCTTTAACGAACTGAGCTATCTGGGAAGCACTATAAGCTTTAAGTCAAAGGAAGCATGACCTGAAGGCTGGCGGGGGCGAAATATTGCTCCCCCCCGCCTGCCTTTTTTATGCTGGATCGCTGTATGGTTTATTTGGGGAACCAAAATGATGTCCTCTTCCACCAGCTGCATGGCAGACGTTTATCCTGAAACATTGTTTTCTGTTCATGGAACTCAGCTTACAGCACACATGGCATGATTGATCACATCTTCATTGGAAGGTCATCTCCTTCAGTTCTCCCGGTTATCCTCACAGCAACACTAGGCCGAGACAGAAACTTGCCTTGCTCAATGTCACCCAGTGTGTGTTACGGAACTCTTCATCCCAAATCCATCAAGTCTACCCACTAGGTCACACTCTCCAGCAATCACCCTTGCGTAAGAATAATAAATACTTTTGGAACACCCCAAGGGCAGAGTGCAAATTTTGTATGTTAAAAAGTCCTAACGTTTGTGGAGGCATGTCAAGGTTGTTTCTAAGGGAGAATTAATCACAGGGGCCAGAGAGATTTGGATTAGAAAATAGTAAGAGAAGTCAAGGCTTCGGCCCCTTGTGTATACAGAGAAGCATGTTCTCAATTTGCAACTCTATTTAATGAGCCTTAGGGGCAGCATGAGGATGGCAGAAGTTCACACACTTGAGGTGTTCTTGAGATCTTGGTTCCCAGTCCAGCTCTCTGTGCATGCAACTGCTAGCCGCCCTAGATGCAGTCGTGTATCGTATCACAGAAGAGGAGTTTGGATTTGATATCCCGCTTTATCACTACCCGAAGGAGTCCCAAAGCGGCTAACATTCTCCTTTCCCTTCCTCCACCACAACAAACACTCTGTGAGGTGAGTGGGGCTGAGAGACTTCAGAGAAGTGTGACTAGCCCAAAGTCACTCAGCAGCTGTACATGGAGGAGCGGAGAGGCGAACCCAGTTCCCCAGATTACGAATCTACTGCTCTTAACCACTACACCACACTGACATCTAGGGAATTCCATGGAGCCGGAACAAGCACTCGCACCCACCATTGGAAGAAGGCCTTTGCACAGATTGGGACAGCTATGTTTAGAGGATGCTAATGAAGTTACCACCAGTCGCAGAATATTTTTGTTTACAAAGCATTTTCAACCTGAGAGTCTATCTACTCACTGAGATCTTCAGCAAATGGTTCTCCATCAGGAGCTTCCATTCCGGAGAGAGAAACAGCTCAGGAATATCGCAGGGTTTCTGTTGTTTTGCCAGGCCTCATATATGCCTGTGAGAAAGTTTTCCATAATCGGAAAACCCATCTTGCTTCCTGGCACCCTAATTATGGCAGAACCTGGCAACTTCTGGGATTATTAGTTTGTGTTACGCTGATGGCCTCTGGACTAATAGCGTAGCCCCAGAGAATTGTATAGTTGGAAGGGACCCCAGAGGGTCATCTAGTCCAACTCCCTGCAATGCAGGAATCACAGCTAAATAATCCCTGACAGGTGGCCACCCAACATCTGTTTGAAAAGCCTCCAGTGAATACAGAAATTAGGTATTGCTGTATTGGACAACTCTCACCCTAGGGGAAAAAAACCAAAGGGAAGGTACAACCCAGATAAATTTAAGAATACTTAAGTACAGTTGAAATCAGAGGGCCTTGACCAGACACAATTAAGGGCTTAGTTCCTTTACAGGTTTTAAGGATGCTTAACTTTCCATGGATTGCACGTTTTGAGCAACTGGGGGAAAAGATAACAGATTTATTGGGGGCTATGACTTAAGCTGATTAGGGTCACAGAGCACACCTGAACAGGTTAGTCATAAGAAAGTCCCACTCTTTTCAAGGAGCCTTACTCCTAAGGGTGTTTAGAATTTCACACTTAGGTGTAGGATTGCTCAGTAAGGTACAGATACTCTCTCACACTGTCTAGAGTGCACACAAATGGCTCTGTGGATGGAGTGTGAGAGTGCATTATAAAGCCAAAGGGAGGCGATAACCAGTCACAGCTGGATTACTCAGGGCAGCCTTTGCCAATGTGGTGTCCGTCAGATGTTCTGGATTCCCAACTCCCATTAGTTCCTGCCAGCACAGCACTTAGGGACTCACTCTTGCACCATTTTTGTCTGAAGAGAGACACATCTAAGAGAAATGATGAGGAGCTCTAATACACTTGAGGTGCAATCCAGGCCAGGAGTGAGGAACCTCTGGCTTCCCTCCAGACATTGTTGAACTTCAGCCACAGATTGGCCAATAGTTAGGGATGTTGGGAGTTCAGATCCAGCAACATCTGAAGAGTGGCCACAGGTTCCCCACCTCTGAGCAGGTAGTTATGAATTTGTAAGTTTCAGCGTGAGCATTAAGCATCTCCCACTGACTGCAGTGGGACTTTAAAAAAGTGCATCGCTTTGCCTGAACTGTGTCTATGGCATTTAACGTGCCCCAATTCCACTGAAAATTATACCTCCTGTAATGCTAAAACATTTCACTCCTCCACTGAAACGCAAGTTTTTATCAGCCAAGAAGAAGACAACCCACTGCGGGGACTACATCACACACAACATTTCATTTTTCAACATTTTAATAAATAACATTATGTTGCACAATGGAATGAATGAGCATGTAAGTTAAGTGAGTTAGCTCTTGCGGACACAAGAGTCCTGAAAGCACTGCAGTTCTGGTAAGCGTGCTGGGAGAAGGGTGTCTTCAGCTCTTCACAGGCGTAGAAGTTGGTTTCATGGCTTTTTTAAGATGGTGATAATTTGGCAGGATTTTCATTAGGAAGTCCAGCTGCAATGTTTGTGGCTAAAAAGAACAGCAGTGTGAAAAAAATTGGGGGGGGGGGAAGCACCAGATAGGTGATAATACTGACAGTCTGAATTCATCTGCTTATGTTCTGCTCTACCAGGGAAAATAATTCATGGGATAAAGAACCAAAGCATCCTTAAAGACAACATAAAGGTAAAGGTAAAGGGACCCCTGACCATTAGGTCCAGTCGTGACCGACTCTGGGGTTGCGGCGCTCATCTTGCTTTATTGGCCGAGGGAGCCGGCGTACAGCTTCCAGGTCATGTGGCCAGCATGACTAAGCCGCTTCTGGCGAACCAGAACAGCGCACGGAAACGCCGTTTACCTTCCCGCCAGAGCGGTACCTATTTATCTACTTGCACTTTGATGTGCTTTTGAACTTCTAAGTTGGCAGGAGCAGGGACCGAGCAACGGGAGCTCACCCCGTGGCAGGGATTCGAACTGCCGACCTTCTGATCGGCAAGTCCTAAGCTCTGTGGTTTAACCCACAGCGCCACCCATGTCCCTCAAAGACAACATAGGAGAAAGCAAATGATCAATTATCCAGAAACTTCATTTCTGTTTCCTACCCGCCCCCATCCTGGGAGTCTCCCCTACTCCCCAGCCAAGCTGAGAAAGACAACAGGCTTTTTAATCCTCTCTTGAGTGGGTCACCTGTAAGAGTCCATCATGCCTGGACCTTGATAAGCCACAGTTTGCAATCAGCTAGAAAACCAGAATTAGAAACTGATTGGAAACTGTGGCTTATCAAGGTCCAGGCATCATGGACTCTTACAAGTGGCCCACTCAGAGAGGATTAAAAAGTGTGTTTAGGTTTGTGCCTGGTTTCGTATGAATTCTCATTGACAAATCAGTTGCTCCACCGCCACTGGCCTTTGCACCACAGACACGGGAGTGCTGAGTTGATGGGAAAGAAAAGGAAACGAGTGGCTCTCTGTTCTGAGTCATGCTGTTGGAGGAACAACTGGCGACATATCAGCAAAGGTTGAACTCCTGTCATGCACCTACCTGGGGCCGCTCAGTCTGCACTCGCCTAAGACAGTCAGCTCCATAGATGACCGTGTTTTCAGGGATGACTTCGTAGGTGTTGACATTGCAGCAGGCTCCAATGATGCAGCCGCTCGTCAAGATCACGTTCCTACCCACAAATGCTGCAGAGACAAAAAATCTCACATTATGAAACGGCAAACAACCCACCTGGAATGAGCAACGTCATGAAGTCTAATCAATGGTCTGTTCTTTGGCCCAGCATCTCATCTCTAGAAACGGAGGATATCATCAACATAAGCCTACTCTCTGCTACTCCTCCGCAACATCCCAATTTTTTTGTCTTGTTTCTAGAACTCAACTTGTTTGAGATATCAGCTGATATCAGATTTTGGCTGCAATCATGTGCAGTCTCACTTCTGAGTACCACCAGGACCACTGCTTATTTCCAAGTGTACACAACCCAGGGATGTGCAACTACACTCTGGTCTTAAATTGCCGCAGTCTGTACCATCTAGCATAGGGATGAGGAGCCAGTGACCTTGCAGATGATGCTGGACTACATATCCCATCATCCCTGACCAAGCTGGCTAGGGCTCATGGGAGTTTTAATCCAGCAACATCTAGAGCAGTGTTTCCCAACCTTTTTTGGGCAAAGGCACACTTGTTTCATGAAAAAAAATCTCGAGGCACACCACCATTACAGCCCCGTGACGTCAGCGCGCAGCGTCACGCCGGGAGGGACATGAATTGCTAGCAAATTACATAATCACCTCCTTGAGGGCTGGCTCATCTTCTCCGAAGGCAGAACCCCATTAATTAACAGCATAGACTCACACCATAGCCAAGACGAGGGGGGGAAACCTCAGTCATGCACAGTCATGCACATGTGGGGGCTAAATGAGGACGAAGACCGGGCAGAGAGCAGGGTTCAAATCACCCCACCTGGCCAGGACAATCCCTGGGTGCTCCCTTGGGCCACTCGCCTGACCCACCTCGCAGGGCTGTTGTTGCGAGGATAACACGGGGAGAACCACGCGCGCCCCCGGGAGCTCCTTGGAGGAGAAAGCGGGCGATGAATGCAATGCACGAAATATATGAGAGGCGACCAGGTTTTGCAGGTGAGGGGCCCCCGACAGCCTCCGCTTCCAACACCCGGCGCAACGACGCCGAAGTTTCCCCCTGGGCTCGGCTCGGGGAGCAGCGCTGCTCCCCCCCCCGGCTCCCCTTCGCCCTCCCGGCTCTCTCTGCCGCCCACTGGGGACCCCCCTCACCTGCCAAGTCCGGAGCGCCGGTGGAAGTTGCATGCATGCATGCAGGGCGCCGCGTTGCCATTGCATTGCACTGCACTCCATGCAACGCCTGCATGCATGCATTGCCTTGCACGCCCGCCAAGGGGTCTCTCCGCGGTCCGATGCGTCCCCTCCGGCGCGGATGCAGCATTGCAAAAATAAAAACCCCCCGACGCAGCCCTACCTGGGGGGCAGCCTCCGCCTCCGCCGCTCCGCCTCCGCCGCTCCGCCTCCGCGGGGATCCCCGGGCTCCATCCTGCCGCCCGATCTCCGGGGGGCGCAGGCAGGCTGCGCGGGGTCTGCGCGGAAGAGCCCCTGCCCGCCCGGCCGCCGCCGCTGCGCTCATTCCATGGCCGGGAGAAGAGCGCTTCAAACAAAACGCCCGGCCCGCCAGGCCACGCTGGGAAACGTAGTTTGCGCACCCCGCGCAGGCGCGGAGCCCAAGGGCGAGGGGACTACGGATCCCGGCAGCCCCCGCGCTGGGGACGGAGGGGAAGAGGCCGGGTGCAGGGATGGAGGGACGGGTGGGCGAGCGAGTGAGTGAGTGGCAGCCGCCAAGCCTTGGCCGAGAGCCAGGAAGGGCCTCCCCGGAGGAGGAGGAGGAGGGAGGCGCAGAGCGGGAGGGAGGGAGGGAACCCCAGGGGTCATCTAGTGATGGCGCCCCAATCGAAAATTTGACTTTAAAAAAAATCTTTCAATTTTTTAATTTTTCCCGCGGCACACCAGGCAACATCTCGCGGCACACTAGTGTGCCGCGGAACAGTGGTTGGGAAACACTGATCTAGAGGGCCTTTGGTTACCCATGACTGCCCTAGGAGAACATGGGGAAACTCAGAATTAAGAAAGTTTGCAAATGGAGTGTGTGTGTGCTGTTTCCAAAACTACTGTCTTGGTCAAACTTTTTTTTTTTTTTTTAAAGCAAGGCTGCAATTTTAAGCATGCTACTACGGAATTGCAATATATTTATCAAAATTGGTTTTTCACATAAACCGTTCCAGTATTTTCAGATGTCAGAGTGGTCCTCAGAAGCATAAAGTAATACAACGCAAAAACTGGAAACAAAAAATAACCCCCCCCGTTATCGATTTCCCACTTAATCAACATACATACCTTTGGACTCAATTACATTGTTGTCTCCTATTTTCATTGCCTGGGAATCTAAGTTCACAGTTAAGAAGAGTACTTAGATATTTAGTTTGCACGCTCCCTTATCCTGGATTCCTCCTAATACAGTCCTCTTTGAAGAATCCTGTTTTGAAAAGGCGTTCAGGACAAGTGGCCTGCTTCAGTAAAGTGTGATTTGCAAGCTCCTGGACCAGTGGCCTTTAGTTGAATCAAAAGCTGCCTATGGACCTTTGAGTGTGTGCTCAAAGGCTTTCCTCAATGCTCAGAGCAGCCAGCTCTGTGGTCCTAGGTTCTTCTGCTAGGCTCTTACAAACTGCCACAGAGAAGGAATGCACACTGAGTGGAATTCTCTCTGCTGAACAAGCAAAAGATCAGTGGGAAGTTCTTTGTGAGCAACCAATTAGCTGTTATGATTGTGAACGACCCTCTTGTTACAGCAAAGGTGCTCCTACCACTGTTCTGTGGCTTCAACAGTTATAAGCTGTGTTAGGCAGAAAAGGAAGGCGAAGATAGACAGGAGATTAAACGAAACACACAGCTTGTTGTACTAGAAGGCTGTCAACTAGTTTAAAACACAGCCACATGGGGAATATTACAGGTAAGGAAAGAACAAGGGAAATTGTAATGATATTAAATGTGATGTTTTGCATTGCTTTGCTGGCCTTGTGGGAGGGTTGCTTTCGTTACCTGGTCCTCTGGATTGCATTTATTTAAGATTGCTCATTTGAGTTTGGAACACCAGCTGCAATGGTTGATCCCTTTAGACAAAAGAAAACAGAACTTTGAGGCCTTTTGTCCCAAGAGAGAGGTCACGGCTCACAATGTGGGTTGTTGTTTTTCACATTAGGGAAACTAGCATGTCTTTACCATGTTTGTTGTGAATGCTGCAACGTGTTGAGCAGACACATCTATTTTGCCACACGTTCCCTGTGAAATGAAAGGCACAGCGAGCCCATGCAGCACATTTGTGTAGTGAAATAAATGCATGCAGTTCTTGTATTAAAATATCATTGAGGTTTACTACAAACACACCCCATCATTATCAGGAAGCTCTTGCCCTGAACATGAACAAAATGCCCATGGGTGGAAGTTACTGGGAACAAAAGAGATATAAGTGACTAACAACACCTGTGGAATCTGAGATAGGTCATTAAACTCAGACAAAGGGTGTGTGTGTGTGTGTGTGTGTGTGTGTGTGTGTGTGTAAGTAATAAATCACTCCATCAACTGGTGTTTTCATTGCTAAAGTAGCACTGTCCTGTGCAAACATACACTTTCTCACTTTAAAAAACACTGCTCTTTTGAAGGATACAACAGCCAACTTCAAAGACGTTGTTGGTGCCAATGATCATTGGTTTGGCTCCCACCTCCTCTGTATCAGGGGTAATGTTTTCAGGATAGCTGTAAAAGGATTGAAACATGCATTAACATTTCTACATCCCCAAAAAACCATGTCTTCGTTGAAAGATTGAGAACTGCCTTTATCTTTGGTAGCTATAAGGTTTGGACAGTTAAAACTTTGGCAATGGCATTGGGCTGCTGCTTTGATTCCCCACTCTACCCCATGCCCCAAAGGCAAGTCTGTTTCTTCTGGAATACCAGAACAGGTGTGAATTTGAAAGGAGGTTGCTGGGCGAAACATCCACCTTTGCATCTACATAGCAATTTAAATATATCTGGTGGAAAAACTAAATTGTGGGCAGCTTCCCAAAACATTTAGCTTTGAAAAATGGATACAGATGAGGAAAAGTCCTTCAGTATAGAAAGTTCCTTGGATTCACCTTTTTCTAGGAGTTAGAAAGCTGATTGTTCAGACTGCAGAGCCAATGACAGATGACTGTTGGCACAGTAGAGCAATATGCTCTGCCAGGCTAAAGAAGAAACTAGTAGTGCTGTGCAACTGAAGAATTCAGGAGATCAAACTATTTCCCATTTAATTTCTCTGCACTAAGAGAACACCACAAAATGCATATCAAAGAGAGCCAGTGTGGTGTAGTGGTTAAGAGCGGTAGTCTCGTAATCTGGGGAACAGGGTTCGCGTCTCCGCTCCTCCACATGCAGCCGCTGGGTGACCTTGGGCTAGTCACACTTCTCTGAAGTCTCTCAGCCCCACTCACCTCACAGAGTGTTTGTTGTGGGGGAGGAAGGGAAAGGAGAATGTTAGCCGCTTTGAGACTCCTTAAAGGGAGTGAAAGGCGGGATATCAAATCCAAACTCTTCTTCTTCTTCTTCAAAATACAGTGATACCTCTGGTTAAGTACTTAATTCATTCCAGAGGTCTGTTCTTAACCTGAAACTGTTCTTAACCTGAAGCACTACTTTAGCTAATGGGGCCTCCTACTGCCGCCGTGCCACCAAAGCACGATTTCTGTTCTCATCCTGAAGCAAAGTTCTTAACCTGAAGCACTATTTCTGGGTTAGCGGAGTCTGTAACCTGAAGCGTATGTAACCTGAGGTACCACTGTAGTGGGGTAAGGGGTGCTTTCTTTAGTGGCATATCCCCTCCACAGTGGAACATAAAATAAAGCACAAGGATTCAACATGGAGATTTACTACCTATCTGCAACAGTGCATTCATGAAGAAGCTTTGCATTTCTTTCCATTTTAACACTGAACTTACACTGTCCCTGCAAAACCGAGTCAATGAGAAGAGGCTGTTTAGGAAGATGCCAAGAAAAAAGAGCAAGGCAGGTGGCCTGGGAGATTTAAGTTTTAGTGGCTTTGGGTGGTACCAGGCAGCTTCCTATGTTGAATAAGACCAATGGTCCATTTAGCTCAGTACTATCTGCTCAGTCTGACAGCAGCTTTCCAAGAACTCAAGCAAGGAGTTGCCAAGACCTTTATCACTGGCATAACCAAGGTGATAAGGGTAGGATCTTCTGCGCACATAACATGTGGTCCACCACTGAGAGAAGCTGCAGGGGACAGAAAGCTATGATATGTATGCTTCGTAAGCTGACCAGAGCGGCTGGGAAAACCCAGCCAGGTGAGCAGCATATAAATAATAAAAATTATTATTATTATTATTAGTGTAGGGTAGACTGCATAATATTATGCTTGCATTTACATTTTAAAAATTAAGCTGGCTTTTGGCTGCATTCGCTAAGGCCTTCCCAAGGTACACCATTTTGGCCCAAGAAAAGTTCAACATGTCATACATACCCATTTATGATAATTGCCTGCTCTTCTATGAGGTTACCTTCCCCGATTACTATTGGTCCAGCTTCTGCAATGATCCGTGCTTTGGGGTGAATCACAGTCCTAGGCCCTGTAGGAAATACTCAAAAGTTTACTCCTGAGTATAGCGGTTAGATATTTCTCCAACTACTTCATGAGAAAACAGAGCGTATGGGGCAGCAGTATCAATTTGTCTCAATACATGGTTACCATGGATGTACATGGAACCAATAAGAAATCTCAACCACCAACTATATTCTCAAACAGTGGAAGGGACTATTGGAACACAACTGTGATGGTCCCGTGGGCTAACCGAGAGGTGAGGTCCGAGTCCAGTCTGAGGTCGAAGGTGCAGTATGGAGCCAGTCCGTAAAAGTTGAAGCTGGATGCAGGGCAGGTAGTCGGGTGAGGTCAGGAGCTCCGGCAGGACAGGGTTCAGGCAGGAACTGACAACCAATGAAGTTGTTCCTGCAAATTGGGACTGGGGCTGGCTGGCTTTTATCTGCCCCGAGGCACAGGGCGGCCCCGATCCTCAGGTGACTCGCCTCTCCTGGCCTGGAGGCAAGCACTCCTCCTGTGGGAAGTTAGTTCCCTCCGCCTCTCTGCCCTGAGCCTCTGCAGCTCAGGAGAGGCTGGAGGGTTACCGGACCCAGAGGCAACCTCAGCTTCCCCTGATGGGGCTGAGAGTGGAGCACCTGCAGGCAATGGGTCCTCCACCCCCTCAGGAGCCGGAGCAGACTCAGCTGGTGCCTGCACCTGAGGATCCAGCACAGGTGAGGACCCTTCAGGCTCATGCCCCAGCCCCGGCTCAGCTGGTTCTGGAGGCAGGGAATCCTGTGCAGGCTGGCATTCCTCAGGTTCAGCATCCGAATCCGAATCCCAGGCCATCACACCCACAAGCTTTTTACATTCTCAGAAAGAACACCACATAAATATGGAAGGGGTATTTCAGATCACAAACTATTTGCCCTCATGAACACCTGTACTTCTGATCGGCTCACTAGTTGTACTCACTGTTCATCGTTGCAAACAATGAGTGGAAAACCTGTGGCCCTCCAGATATTATTTGACTACAACTCCCAGCATCCCTCAAATTTGGCCATGTTGGTTGGGACTGATGGTAGTTGGGAGTCTAACAATTTCCACAGCAGGTTCCCCACCCACATTGTAAACAAACATTGATCTTGTTTGGATTATCTTCCCCTGCACAATCAAGGGATTGTCTTGTACTGAAGGCAATGCTGTTTTACATCATTAAGTAATATGTGAGAATTAAGAGACTATTTGTAGACTGGTATCTTTAATCTGACAATAATTCAAATTAACTTTGGAGATTCTGACAACTACAGTAACCACACAAATTACTTTCTCTTACCAATTGTCACATCACCCTTGATTTCACTCTCGACACAGACAACAGCTCCAGGAGCAATCTTTACACTGGAAAAGAGAACATCAACAAAAAACAACAACAATGTTTTGCATCTCCCTTGAAAGCACATGTATATGAAAATATATCCAGAATATTTCAAGCAAGCTGAGACCCACTCAGTGGTTTTTAATTCCAGATTAGGAGAGCTGGGTGCTGTTACCCAGATGTAACGGGGTCAGTTACAGTTTTAGGCTTGACAGTTCACCCTCATGAACTGTCCCTCATGGAGGGGGCTACAAAAATTAAGAAACCTAACCAGGGTTCTAGTAAAAAAACAAAATGTTTCACAAGCCTGAAGTCTGGGACACAGATAATGAGACTGCTCCACCCCCCCAAAGGAGGAAAGCATTTTTAAACAATGGAATTCTTATACATGTCTACTCAAAGTACACCCAGTTGAGCTCAGTGGGGCTGACTTCTAAGGCAAGGGCACAGGACAGCAGCGCGTGTGTAACTTTCATGTCCTATTTTCTTTTCTCTGCAAGGCAAAGCAAGAGGAGAGTGGGGTTGTTTTTGTTTTTATTAAAAAGATTCTCTCCGCCTGGTATAAAAAAAAGCAGCAGCCTGAATAAGCGGTAAAGCAAATGAATAAAAACTACGGAGTAAGAAGTTCCAAGCTGGAAAATTATCAGGCTAAGACCCCCTTTTTTTATTGATCTTTCATATCAGATGCGTGGAGTCTTATCCTCACTTCACTGGTACGGGATCCGGTGGAGAGAAAAAGGGATCTAGTGGCGCCGAAAGGCCATGAAACAGATCGGGCAGCAGCGGCTGCGAGACATTTCTACGCAGGGCCGAAATGCATACAAGGTAAAAAGAGACTAATAAACGGGCAGCCGTGGCAAATGGCGAGAATAATGCTAAATTTAATTCTGCACCGGGCAAAAGAGAACTGGGAAGAAGACCGGGGCTCCCGCCCACCTTCTTAGCCAAACTGCGGACCTGCCATCCACCAGGCCGCCGCTAAGCCCACCACCAAAGAGACCCGACCAGCTCGATTCTGCTCACCTCTTCTGCGCCTTCTCCGCCATCTTGTCCGCCCTCTCATCCATTGCTCGGCCGGCGGCGACGCAGCCCGCTGATACCAACGAGAAGGAAAGGGGTGCCGATCGTAGCCCTCGGGAATCGATTCACCGCGCCTTCCGCTCGGGCCGGATGGGAGCGACGTAGCCAATGAGAACCCGCCCTGGAGCGTGTAACTCCTCCCCTCCTTTTGGGTCACCATTGATGCGCTTAATAGCGTGCGACGGCGTATTAACCTCTTAATATCCGCCACACAATGTTATGTGTCTTGAATTTTTTTCGTGTAAATAGACAAACATGGGAGCCAGCATTTGTGTTAGTGCAGTACATTTATATCATGCTTAAGTGGTGTGCTTGCTTCCCCCACTATGATTCATGGAGCAACAACAATTTATTACTTATATTACTTACTTATAGTTTAATTTATTACTTATATTACTTATTGTTATGTACTGAGTTGAATAGGATCCAAAATGCAGCAGTCTGATTCGTCCTAGAACAATAGGATCCAAAATACAGTAGTCTGATTGGTCTGCAGGAGCCACCCAATCCAGCTCCAGGTGGAAGTGAATCCACAACCTGATTGGCCTACAGGAGAATCCCAGAATTAGCCAATCACATGCAGCCCATTGTGTAAATAATGTATATAAAGCAAATATTGTGGGGGAACTTCCATTCCTCCTCACCGCTATGAGCTGAATAAAGAGCATGAAATCCACTCACGACTCCGAGTATATTTCACTTATAGTACTGACTTATAGTACTTATTACCTGCCCATCTGGCTGGGCCTCCCTAGCTGCTCTGGGCAGCTCCCAACAGAATATTAAAAGCACAATAAACATAAACATAAAAACTTCCCTAAATAGGGCTGCTTTCAGATGTCTTCTAAAAGTCAGATAGTTGTTTATTTCCTTGACATCTGATGGGTGTTCCAAAGGGCGGGAGCCACCACTGAGAAGGCACTCTGCCTGGTTCCCTGCAGCCTCACTTCTCGCAGTGAGGGAACTGCCAGAAGGCCCTCGGAGCTGGACCTCAGCGTCCGAGATGAACAATGGGGGTGGAGATAGCTCCTTCAGGTATACTGGGCAGAGGCTGTTTAGGGCTTTAAAGGTCAGCATCAACGCTGTGAATTGTGCTCGGAAACGCACAATCATAGAATTGTGGAGTTGGAAGGGATCACGAGGATCGGCTTGTGTGCAAACAAACCCCCTGCAATGCAGGACTCTTGTCCAGTGCGGACTCCAACCCACAACCCTGAGATTAAGGTTATCCTCACAGTAACAGTGTGGGGTAGTTGAGGCAGGAGACAGCTCAAGGTCATGCAGTGGGTTTCATGACCAAGGGGAGATTTCACCCTTAGCTGCCCTAGTTGGGCTCTGACCCACACTAATAACTGCTACAAGCCTCCCCAGTGTTGTGGTGGAATGAAGGGAGCAGCATGGGTTTGATTCCCGAGTCAACTATGGCCAAACAACACATATCTAAGTGTGCCATGTATGGAAGTGAGATGCATGGAAGTGAGAGCTGGACCATAAAGAAGGTTGATCGCCGAAGAATTGATGCTTTTGAATTCTGGAGCTGGAGGAGACTCTTGAGAGTCCCAGGGACTGCAAGAAGATCAAACCTATCCATTCTGAAGGAAATCAGCCCTGAGTGCTCACTGGAAGGACAGATCGTGAAACTGAGGCTCCAATACTTTGGCCACCTCATGAGAAGAGAAGACTCCCTGGAAAAGACCCTGATGCTGGGAAAGATGGAGGGCACAAGGAGAAGGGGACGACAGAGGAAGAGATGGTGGGACAGTGTTATTGAAGCAACGAACATGAGTTTGACCAAACTGTGGGAGGCAGTGGAAGATAGGAGTGCCTGGCGTGATCTGGTCCATGGGGTCACAAAGAGTCGGACACGACTAAACGACTAAACAACAAGTGTGCCATTGGGAATTTTCCAACAGGTGGCTCTGGGCAGGGGTGGCTCATCCCTTTTTGCCACCCGAAGTGTGTCAGGAAGGTGCTGCCCCACAACAGCCTCCCCTACCTGGGGAGTGCCCACGAAGCAGCAACAGTGACCATGAGATCTCGCAGAGTTCTCACAAGATTTTGTGGAGTGCACAAGATCTCTTAAGATGTTGGTCCCATCTTGCTGCTTCTTCCCCAGTGGTGGTAGGGTGACCAAGGGCACCGGTGGGGCGCTGCCTCTTGGGCTTCTGCCACCTAAGGTGGCTGCCTCAGCCTGCCTTATGGGCGGGCTGGGGATGGATGGGAGTGATATTTACCAGGACTGCGGCGCACAGGGAAGGGATGTTCAATTTTCCTTCTACTTTTTCATTTCTAGTGAAACTCACTGCATGCCTTCTTTTAGCCATGGACCATCTGTGAGAAATATGGGCGCTTGGAAACCAAACTATTGTACTGACCCTTATACCCACTACAATCCAATGTATCAAAACAAATTTTCCATGCATGCCTACCACAGTTGCCAGTTTTTATATTGACTTACTGTGTATTCTTCTGGTAATGTTTATGATGGATATTATAAGGGAAGGATAAGAACAACCATTTATGTGTCTCTGATTCTTTGAAAATATGGCGATTTTGTGTGTCATGCAGATGTTATCAGTTTGGTATGAGGCTCTTATCTTTGCTTCCACCTCATAATCAGTATTCAAAAGGGCCTCATCGGGTGACAATCCGACTTTTGTGGCACAGCAGCTCAGTGAAAATGGCATTTGAACAAATAATATACCTCAATGGTATATTTTAGGCAGAATGTCCCGTCTCCATAGTTATAAACTCTGATACGCTGACCTTCATCATCTGGGTGATTTCCATTATTAGCCTAATCCAATACTGTATAGGGAAAAGACAACAATGTCTGTTGAGACACTTCATTTAGGTGAGAAAGGATTGGAAGACAACCAGCAAAATAGCATTTTGAGAATGAGGGTCTTTATGAACTGGGAAACCCTGTTTTTCTTTCAAGCCACAGCTTTATACCAGTTAGCTGCTTTTCCATTTGCTATTTTGTTCCATTATCTCTGTGCCTCTGGGAATCTTTCTATAAATGCAAGGTAGGTATCATTATCTATTTTTTTTTTACTATTACTTTTTAAAAAAATGTTATATTTTCTTGACTAATAAGCAAACAAAGGAAGGTCTAAAATGAGAATTTAAAAGCCTACAATAGAAACAGTAACTAAGAAATCTTTTTTTTAAATATACTTTAAAAGAAAGCCAATCAAAAAACAGCAGCTTCTAGAAAATAATAAGCTCAATGTATCAGGAACTAGGAAACACTTGAGAAAGAAAAAGTTTTCACCTGTGGATAAGGAGGAGATTTGAAAAGGAAAGGGCCAATCCAATTGTTTTCCAATTGGAAATCCAACAGAGTTATGGCAAGTTCCAGCTGGAAAAACGTCCTGTATAGGAATGTGCAGCACTTTAAAAGCAACAACTAGCTGGGAAGAAAATCAGTTACAACTGGAGCTCCCCACCATCTTTCTTCCAATAGCATGCCACAGAATTCTCCACCAGTTGAAGCTTTTGCACTGTCTTAAGAGGCAGTCCTATGTGAACTGGATGTGCGCTAATAATTTACCGTATTTTTTGCTCTATAAGACTCACTTTTTCCCTCCTAAAAAGTAAGGGGAAATGTGTGTGTGTCTTATGGAGCGAATGCAGGCTGCACAGCGATCCTGGAAGCCAGAACAGCAAGAGGGACTGCTGCTTTCACTGTGCAGTGATCCCTCTTGCTGTTCTGGCTTCTGAGATTCAGAATATTTTTTTTTCTTGTTTTCCTCCTCCAAAAACTAGGTGCGTCTTGTGGTCTGGTGCATCTTATAGAGAGAAAAATACGGTATGTTTATTTCTAACAGTGAACCAAATGGCATATTTGGGTATCGATGCAGGTTGAACTCGTGTGATGACCTGGCTGAGTTTTTGTTTGTTACAAAAGTGATTGGTTGGGAACTAGATGTTACACAAGGAGCACAGATTCCCAGATCTCCCCAACACTGCCTTGCCACACTTGGCATTCCCGCCTCCCCTTCTGTTAACTTTCCTGCCAGGCGGGAAACTTCTTACCCTGAAAATTGCCACCATGGCTTTGAAAACATGTCTGTTTATTTTTAGGTACACTTTCCTCCTGGTGGGTGGTTTCCTCCTGGCCTGGGCTGCTATGGGGTGCTATGCCCTGCTGCTGCTTATATCTGCCTTCTCCTCTCTTGCCGTAATCCGTTCTGCTGGCCCACAGCAGGTCCACACATGGGCGTTCTTCGTTCAGATGACCTGGCAAACACTGTGCCATCTTGGGCTGCATTACAAAGAATATTACCTACAAGAAGCTGCATGTATCAGGTAAAGATGTGCTCGCTCTAGTCTAGTGTATCGGTTGGATGGCAGAGTTAGTCTCGGAGCAGTTTACTTTGCATTATTTCAGTACACATAGAAACAGTAGACAGACCAATTGGATTGAGAAGGTCCTTTCCTGGGTGGTATAACTGTTTTTTTCTTACTAATTTTATTGTCATTGAACTTTATGGGAATTATACCCAGTATAAACAGGAGCAATATTGTAATACCTTTATTAGGACAAACTAAACTATCACTAAGCAGTGAGCGACTTTTTGAGGAGGGATAGTCAACCTTTTTATTTCCATGAGCACATTTGGACTTTTGAGTAAGTGATGTGTTGCCACCCCTCCTTCTGGTCATTTCCCGGATCAGACTCCCCTGCAAAAAGAGACCCAAGGTGAGCAAGAATACACATACAAATTTTGCTCTTAAAAGGATCTGCGTAAAAGTCAGATCCTGAGCCATGAAAAGTATATAGGACTTAAAAGACAAGCTGGCAGCTTCAGCTCCATTTACTTTTGAAGGGAGAAAATATAAACCGGACAGACTGGTTTATTAGCCATTTCCTGTTGCCCATGGGATCCAGGGAATTGTAGTTCTGTGAGGCGGTTTGAGATATCTAACAAAGAATGTTCAGCACCCCCACCAAACTACAACTCCTGGCATTCTTTCGGATGCTTAAAATGGGATGTGACATAAGCTCTCTAACAGAACTGACGAGAACTAAAACTGGGTGGCTCTTAA